AGGATATGAAAATGGATGCTAAGTCTTTAGAAGACTGCCTGACAGTAGTTAAGTGTTCAGTAAAATAAGTGTTGATATTAACAGTAACTTGGAGATCCCTGCACTGACACTGAACGCTCTTGACATTTATTTCTGGTAGGGTTTGTGTGTGTGTGAGTGTGTGCGGCTTCACTTGGAGGTAAGAAGATTCCAGTGTGATTCACTTTTACACTCCCAGTCCCTATCATGGTTTCTGACTCAGCAGGCAGCAGCAAATCCTACTCAATGAATGAGAATTAGTGAAATGAAGGCTATTTAGGAGATAGAAAGTTAAAATGATGTGTTGCAATATAGTCTGGAACAAAGGAATGAGGCTTATAGATAAAAAATAATAGCACAGAGGTTAAAGCATGGGCTTTAGTACTGGCTCCTCGACTTACTCTCTAGACAATCTGTGGTTTATTAGTTAACGTCTCTGTACTTCACAGTTCTCATCTGTAAAATGCAGATAATGACAGTTAGGGTGCTGAGAGGATTAAATGAGAGAATGCAATTAAGAAGCCTAGTGCTAGGACTGGCATGGGGTGAGCATTCAATAAACACTAACTACTACTACAAAATTGTCTGTTATCTCCTGCTGAGTAGTAATCCCCTCCAAAAAATTCAGTGGCTTAAAATAGCAACAATGTATGGTTTGGTGAATTGACTCAAGTCTTCTGTTGTTCTCACTTTGCATCACTCATGGTTATTTGGCAGATTGACTAGGGCTGGATAATCCAAGTGGATTTATTCATATGCCTGGAACCCACTGCCATCAAGTTGATTCTGACTCACAGTGACCCTACAGGACAGAGTAGAACTGCTCCATAGGGTTTCCAAGGCTGTAAATCTTTATGGAAGCAGACTGCTTCATCTCTCTCCCATGAAGCAGCTGGTGGGTTTGAACTGCCAACCTTTTGGTTAGCAGCTGAATGATTTAACCATTGTGCCATCAGAGCTCCTTCATGTGTCTGGAGGTGCTGGCTGTTGTCTGAATCTCTCTCTCCAGGTGGCAAGCCCAGGCTTCTTCACATTATGGTCTCAGGACAGCAAGACAGCAAACACAGAAGCTGCAAGGTCTCATGAGGCCTAGAGTCAGAAGTTATACAGCGCTGCTTCTTTCACATTCTACTCTTGGAAAGCTGCGTTTCTGAGAGTCCTCTTAATTTCTTCCCCAATCTTCTACTTCCAGTCAATCACCAACTGCTTTTAAGACAAACCCTGAGAAGTCTAATCTCTTTCTGTCCGCACTGCTTGCTATTGCCATAAGGAGCTCTGATGGCATAGTGCCTAAGGCTAACCAGAAGTTTGGTGGTTCAAATCCATCAGCCACTCCGCAGAAGGAAGACTGGGCGATCTACTTCTGTAAAGATTTACTGCTTTGGAAACCCAAAGGGGGTCACTATGAGTTGGAATTGGCTTGATGGCAGTGACCATAGTTCAGGCACAAATTTTGCCTGGACAATTGTAACACTTTGGACTTCCCAAATCTATCCTAGTCTCCCCATGCTGTTCAAGCCTTATCTTTCATTCTCTAAAGTTCCCTCTCATATTCCCCAAAGCATGTCTGCAACCCCCATGTGATTCCTATTGATATATTCAGCAGAAAATCTCAAGTTTCCAAGTTTAGGCAGAAACTGCCAATCTCGTGACATTAATTTATTCTCTAAGAATGTCACAGGTTGAGCTCCTCTCTCAGAAAACAAGCCAGCCTCTTTTAGGGGCAGTGAGCACTAGTCTTAGAAGGTACAGGCCCTTCTACTTTTACCCTAGGTTATTGTTGTTGTTGTTGTTATGTGCCGTCGAGTCAGCCCTGACTCATAGCGACCCCTCCTTGGGTTTCCGAGGCAGTATCACTACGGAAGTATTAGCACAGACACAAAAGGGAGGCAGCTAAAACAAAAACTGTTCCAAGTAGTATTAAAAGTCATCAAAGTAAACTCTTTTCCTCCCAGTCAAAAAATAGTCTTCCAGTTCCCAAGGGAAGTAGAAAGCAGGGAAAAGTTGGAAACTGATGACCAGCAGTGATGAGGGTTCTGTTGAGCCAACACTGCCCTTGGACACCTCGGTGAGCAAGGGAAGCTGGGACTAGTTCTTGCGCTCTGCATCTTGAGTTTCCCAACCCCCAACAGTTGTCTCAACACTCAGAGAAGGAATCTGTTTATTCTTTTTTCAGAACACTGGTGGATGGAACTCTAGGTGTCCTGTTTCATTCTTACAGGATTCCAGAATGTCATGTTTCAACCTCCCCCAAACTTCTCTTTAATTAAAGGGCAGTTGACTGTTTGGCAATTCTCCAAAACAATTATCTAAATTAAAATCAAACAAAATGGAATAGGACTGGATAAAAAAAATCTTGACACCATGATTACATGACAACATGGATAGTACCCCATATTTGTGCATACTGGAAAAAAGAAATAAAAAGCATAACATATTAATGGAAAAAGATTACACTAAGACAAAGCCTCTTATTTTCACAGAAGCCTTCACCATTTGTTCACTTTCAGAAAAAATTTTTTATGCCACTTAAATGTGCTTATTTTAGATATATATAAAAAATACATGTTGGGTAGAAATAGTTTAGTTGCCATGGATTTGTAACAGAATGAAGTGCTGCCCTGTCCTGCACACCATCTTCCTCACTGTTGGCATGTTTGAGCCCGTGGTGACTTACTGTACCTCACTTCACAGCCAGGTGCTGTCAGACTGCCAGGCATCTCGAGTGTCTCCCTTACCTACATCCTCTCTGTAGTGGCTTTCACATGGATGATGCATCACGTAAGTGTCCACTTGGCTACGTGTGGTAGTTTTATGTTTGTGTGTCAACTTGGCTGGGCCTGGTTCAGTGGCTGGGCAGCTAGTGGTTAGTTATTCCTCATGATTAAACTGGCAATCAACTCCATGGTGGGATCTACCACAAGCAGCTGAGTAGCTGCCTTTGGGATGTGGTCTGCTTCCTGTATATAAGGAGAAGCCTTGGGAATGGTCTCTTGCCTATGGCATGCTAGGACCCTGCATGTAGCCGTGTCCTTAAGGCCAACCCATTTGTGGTATATTCTCGTCAGAGAGGCACTGGGTAACCAGAACACTACCCAATTAATAGCATTACTACCAGCTTGTCAGATCACAAGAGAGAGGCAGCTAAGACAAAAACCATTCTAAGTACCACTGAAATTTATCAAAGTAAGTATTCTTTCTCCAAGTCAAGAAGTAGCCTCCTAGTTCCCAAAGGGAGTGGAAAGCAGGGGAAAGGTGGTGTTCTGGTTACCTAGTACCACTCTGACAAGAATATACCACAAATAGGATGGCCTTAACAAACAGGAGTTTATTCTCTCACAGTTTGGAGGCTTTTAAGTCCAAGTTCAAAGTGCCAGGCTCTAGGGGCTGTGTGAAAGCCCCTTGACCTTGGGCTTCAGCTCTGCCTCTTGCTCCCGGCCCACTGAAGCTAGAGGCATCTCTTCACTCGGGCAGCTACTGGCTGCTGAGGCTAACAAGCCCAAGGTCAACAAATAAAATGGCACAGTCCCCATGTTACCAAACCACACGGCAGGCCATTAACTCAAGTCCATTATAAGTCCCAAGGTCGGCAGAGCATGGCAGGCTGCTGAACAATGACACGGCTACATGCAGGGTCCAAGCGTGCCATAGGCTAGAGACCATTTCCCAAGGCTTCTGCTCATATATAGGAAGCAGACCACATTCCCTAAGGCAGCTACTCAGCTGCTCACAGATTCCACCATGGAGTTGATTACCAGTCTCATCATGGGGAATACTACATCCAGCTGCCCAGCCACTCCACCAGGCCTAGCCAAGTTGACACCCAACCTTAACTACCACGGGTGGAGACTGGTGACCAGCTGCTTTCCACACCATCACAATTACTATATCAAATATTTCCATATTAAAATTGACACTCATTTTTCATAATCCACCACCTTTCAGAAAACAGCTAAAATCAACATGAAAAAGACAATTCTGAAACTGAAGATGAGGAATGGAGGGTCCTGAATTCAAGGTCATAGTTCAAAGAAAGTACGGAGCTTTTGGACAATTAAATGAAAATGCCACAAAGGGGTAGAGCTCAGACACTTTGGAGGGGGGGTCAACTGGTGAGGCCAGCAAGGATGCCATGGAGTGACCGGAGTGTTTCCTGATTCCCCACAGTATCCTCCACCCCCAACCCAGGTTTGGTTTCCTCATTAATAGGACTTGTGTAGACTCTGCAGGCATTTGAATTCAAGACCACTGACCTACTGTCAGAAATAAGCCATTGGCTTCTAACCAAAAACTAAGCTCTTAATGCTCTGGACACCAAAGCCGAAGTCTAGGGGTGCAGGGGATTTGTACCTCTGTTTCTAGAACCCTACTCCTCCCTCCTTCTTCTGAGAGAGGCCTCAGCATGCCTCAGTTCTGTTTCCCTCTGGGATGGAGTGGTCAGGACCAGATTTCAGCAGACCTTCTGAGGGAAACAAGCAGTAGTGGGGGGAGCCCCTTGCCAGGTCTGGAAAGATGACCCTCGTGCCCCTCCCTCTGCTAGGCTAGAGCTGAGTCCATTCCCTAGGCATGGCCGAGGCTGCTGCAGGTAACTGGAGGATTTCAGTAATGAAAGTCTGCATCATTTTCTCTTCATTTCCATCCTTCCCCCCCCGCCAAGGAACATGCTCATTTTCTTCATTGCATTTCATTCCCAACAGCAGTGAAGGGACCTTGGCTTTATCTGAACTCCTCCTTCCTCAAATCTCTACAGATTATATAGCCATATACATATTCCATGTGGCTTCCAGTTCTGACCAGTAACACAGTGTTGGTGTTGGTGTGTGTGGGGGGCTCTGGCAAAGGACATTAGGGCAAATGCGACAAAGGATGGGGGCCCACATTCTCTGGTGCTCCCACCCTTTTTCCACACTGCACAGACTCAGGATCCTCAGGAAAGCTGACTCCAAAGTGAGGGAAAGTGGGCAGTTGAAAGGGTCCCGGAGCTAGGACTGGAACTGAGCATTAGGGAACAGCGATACATGGATGGATGGCGGACGACGCAGCAGACCTGAATGGAGACTAGGGCGGAAAGCACAAAGGAAAATAAGGGAAAGGAGCTTTCACAGAAGCCAACAGAAGGCAGTTACAGAGAAGAGAAACCAGTCAGAGAGGAGGTAGCACAGCCCCTGGAGACGTGGGACATTTCCTCCTTTCACTTGGTATCTGCCTCCAAAACCTGGATCATTCCACTCCCCAAGCAAGAGATCAGATTCTCCAATACATGAACTGAGAACTTAGGTTCTCTTGAGAGTTGAATTCATTTAAGGAACTTGCATTGTGAATTAGAATTTCATGTACCTTTCAGGACAGAGAAGTAACACAGGCTGAGTTTTGGTTTATTAAAGAAAAATTCACTGCAATGAAAGGACTACAAAGCATGGGAAAGAATTGGTGTATGTAAATAAAGCAAGTCAACCATTATTGCATTACTTCAATAAAAAGGCTTCTCATTTTCTATTCCATTTGGTTACAGAATGTGGAAATATGTGTTTATTTCGTTACTACTGACACCTTCACCCTCATAGAGCATAGGTGGTGAGCAGACTTCTAAAACTCCCTCACAGGTGGGTGAAGCAGTGATTTGTGGTGGCAAGATTTTGTCCTCTGAAGTCATCTGAGGGACACTGGAATAAAGTTCTGCCCACAGACCCTGCCCACACAGCCTTCTCCCTGAGTGTGTCTTTCGGTGCAAGCGGAGGTGTAACTGACTGCTACAGCACCTCACATTCTCCCTGCCCACATGCTTCTCCCCCAAGCAAGCTGTTCTTGGACATATAATGCAGTGTGCCTTTTCCCCCCAATTCTTGCCCATTCTCCCTGTACACGCAGAGCATCGAAGTATGAAGGGGAGTGATTTACAGTTAAAGCATTGGCCACACTCATTGCAAACTTCACACTTCTCATCTGAGTGTGTCTTCTGATGTCTGACTTTTGGCTAAAGCCTCGGCTGCAATCACCGCAAACCCAGGGCTTCTCTCGAGTGAGCCCACTGATGTCTAATGAGGCTCTGCTTATAGCTAAAGCCGCGCCCACACTCCTTGCACACATGTGGCTTCTCCCTCAAGTGTGTCCCCTGGTGGAGAAGGAGGCCGGCCTTCTGGCTAAAGCCTCGCCCACATTCCAGGCACACATAAGGTTTCTCACCTGAGTGTGTCCCCTGGTGTCTGATGAGATTTGATTTGCGGTTAAAGCCTCGCCCACACTCCTTGCACACATGTGGCTTCTCCCCTGAGTGTGTCCTCTGGTGTAGAAGGAGGCTTGATTCCCGATTAAAGCCTCTCCCACACTCACTGCAAATGTAAGGCTTCTCCCATGAATGTATCCTACGGTGCATAAAGAGGACTGATTTCCGGGTGAAGCCTTGGCCACACTCACTGCAAACATAAGGCTTCTTATCTGAGTGTGTCCGCTGATGTCTGATGAGGCCTGATTTCTGGCTAAAGCCTCGCCCACACTCCTTGCACACATATGGCTTCTCCCCTGTGTGTGTCCTCTGGTGTATAAGGAGGCTTGCTTCCCGGTTAAAGCCTCGCCCACACTCCAGGCACATGTAAGGCTTCTCACCTGAGTGTGTTCTCTGGTGTCTGATGAGGTTTGACTTGCGGTTAAAACCTCGCCCACACTCCTTGCACACATGTGGCATCACTCCTGAGTGTGTCCCCTGGTGAAGGAGGAGGCTGGATTCCCGGTTAAAGCCTCGCCCACACTCCAGGCACACGAAAGGTTTCTCACCGGAGTGCGTCCTCTGGTGTCTGATGAGATTTGACTTGCGGTTAAAGCATCGCCCACAGTCCTTGCACACATGTGGCTTCTCCCCAGAGTGTGTCCGCCAGTGCAGAAGGAGGATGGATTTCCGGGTAAAGCCTCGGCCACACTCACTGCAAACATAAGACTTCTCATCTGAGCGTGTCCTCTGATGTCTGAGGAGGTCTGACTTCTGGCTAAAACCTCGGCCACACTCACCACAAACATAGGGTTTCTCCCCTGAGTGTGCCCACTGATGTCTAATGAGGCTTTGCTTATAGCTAAAGCTTCGCCCACATTCTTTGCACACATGTGGCTTCTCTCCCGAGTGTGTCCTCTGATGCATAAGGAGGACTGATTTCCGGATAAAGCCTCGGCCACACTCACTGCAAACAAATGATTTTTCATTTGAGTGTGTCTTCTGATGTGTGATGAGGTCTGACTTCAGGCTAAAGCCTTGTCTATACTCCAGGTGCATGTAAGGCTTCTCCCCCGAGTGCTTCCTCTGGTGAATGAGGAAGGGTGACTTATCCCTAAAGCCTCGGCCGCAGTCACTGCAAACATAGGGCTTCTGCCCTGAGTGAGCCCACTGATGTCTGATGAGGCTCTGCTTGTAGCTGAAGCCTCGCCCACACTCCTTGCACACATGTGGCTTCTCCCCAGAGTGTGTCCCCTGGTGGAGAAGGAGGCCGGCCTTCTGGCTAAAGCCTCGCCCACATTCCAGGCACACATAAGGTTTCTCACTTGAGTGTGTCCTCTGGTGTCTGATGAGATTTGATTTGCGGTTAAAGCCTCGCCCACACTCCTTGCACACATATGGCTTCTCCCCTGAGTGTGTCCTTTGGTGCATAAGAAGGACTGAATTCTGGGTAAAGCCTCGGCCGCACTCACTGCAAACAAAAGGCTTCTCCCCTGAGTGTGTCCTCTGGTGTATAAGGAGGCGTGATTTTCGGTTAAAACTTTGGCCACACTCACTGCAAACATAAGGCTTCTTATCTAAGTGTGTCCTTTGATGCCTGATGAGGCCCAACTTCTGGCTAAAGCCTCGCCTACACTCCAGGAGTGCAAAAGGTTTCTCCCTTGAATGTGTCCTCTGGTGCAAAAGGAGAAGTGACTTGTGGTTAAAGCCTAGGCCACACTCACTGCAAACATAAGGCTTCTCATTTGAGTGTGTCCTCCGGTGCCTGATGAGATTTAACTTCTGGCCAAAGCCTTGCCCACACTCACTACAAACATAGGGCTTCTCCCCTAAAAGGGACCCCTGGTTTGTGATGAAGTTGGATTTCAGGCCACAGTCTGGTTCATCCTCTCTGCAGCTGACCGTTCCACATGTTGAGGTTTCTAATTCCTTCAGCCCTTTGTCTGTTTCCACAGAGTTTACCATTTCAGCTGAGCTGGGCTCTATGCCTACCACTGCGCTGTCTTCTCCAGGGCTTATGGACAGCCTTTGGGGTGGGCTGGAGAACGCCCTTGAAGTCTCTCTGTCCCCTGCCCTCCCACACAAGGGTTTGCAGACTTCTCTCTCTTGACCTTCTGTGCTTTCACTGCAGCAGCTTTGATCAGAATCCTGCTGCTCCTGCTGCTTCTGACGGCCTGGGCTGGAATCCCCTGGATGAAAGGGATTTTCCACACAGAAGCCTGGGAAGATCTGAAGCACATGGGGGCTGAGGAACCGCTGACAGGAGAACGCCAGAAGGCAGGAGGAACAGGGGTAGACTTCTGGCTTTGGTTCTGTGAAGAGAGAACGTTTGCCATTACAGTAGCCATAGCAGACAGGGGCTTGTTTCTGCAGTCCCTGCGTATCACAGTTAAGCACTTGACTACTGGCTGAAAAGCTGCTGGTTCAGAAGATAGGCCTGGTGATCTGCTTCCAAAAGGTCGCAGCCTTGAAAACCCAATGGAGCAGTTCCACTCTGCACACATGGCATCACCATGAGTCAGAATCGACTCAGTGGCAACTAACAATAAGCTGATTGCCATATTTGTAACTGACAATATATATAATTTGTTTCCCACCAACAGGGATTTACATCCTTACAAATTACACATTTTACTGCAACCCAAAAAGAGTCCTGGTGGTACAGTGGTTACAGCACTCAGCTCCTAATCAAAAAGTTGGTGGTTTCAATCCACCAGCATCTCTTTGGGAGAAAGATGATGGCAGTCTTCCCCTATAAAGATTTACAACTAGGGAAACCCTATGGGGCAGTTAGTTCTACTCTGTTCTATAGGGTCATTGTGACTTGGAATTGACACGACACTGAGTTTCAGTATTACAACCCAGATAATCCACACCAGAAACGTCTTCAACACATCAACCAGACCAGGAACTTCTCAAGTAACCATTAAAAACTGAGTGTGCTTTGTAAACAGCTTCTATCATAGTTAGCCTTTTTTCTTCTACTGAAATCCTCTAAGCCACAGACACATTGATATACACTGCATGTAACACTTTGCTATTACAGTATTTTTACATGAATAATGCATGCCTTATAGGTTTGTTTGCCAGCCACTCCCCTCCCCCACAAGATATTTTTTTAAGTGTGCGTTGCTAAAAAAAAAAAAATTGGCATAATTACAAAATGATTACAAAAACATGTCACAGGGGAGGGAATGGTTGACAAACAAATGTAGAAGGTGTGCAATATTTGTGAAAATACGGTACTTGGAAATAACAGGTTCTATGACCTATGTAGGAGCTCTGGTAGTGTAGGGCCTAAGGCACTTGACTGCTAACCAGAAGGCTGGTGGTTCAAACCCACGAGCCACTCCTTGTAAGGGAGGTTGGGCAAACTACTTTCATAGTGATACGGACTCAGAAACCCAAGGAGGGCTCGCTATGAGTCGGGTCCGACTCGATGGCAAATAACAACAACCTGATCTATGTGGAAATCTCCTTCATGACTTTTCTTATTACGAAAAGAGGTTGATAGACACAAAAAGTCACTCAGTCTGGAAGGCTTCCAAACATAGGAAATAGTATATATGGGGAAATAGTGTAGTAGTAGTGCCTAAACCTGTCCAACTTCAGGGGGGATAATGATCAAGATCAGCCCAAAGCCAATTCCCATCAGGTGGAAGTCAGACATACATCCACCCTCCAACCTTTTTACCAGTTCTGATACCAGCTGTCCTCCCCGTGGCACTCTCTGCTTCTCTTCTGGGTTCAAAAATCCATTGTAATGACCACAGAGAACTGACAGACCATACTTAGAGTTAACTGGTTTATTAACCCTTTCATGACCCATGGGCCATATGACACTCATCTACATTCTCCTCCTCTGGGGTTTAATGGAGAGCTGCTTTCCCACTGACAGTGCATGAAGCCATGGGGGAGAAGGGGGACATGTACAACTGTTTGAAATGGAAGAAATAGGTGTATAATGTAAAGTACTGTTTATACAGGGTATTGTATGAAGTGGTGCATCCTGGAGGCTCACTTATTATTTTGCAAAATTTTGGTCTCTTGGGTTTTTCACTGGGAGATAAACCTTGTGAGTATATTTCTGGGTTCCTGTGCACTGTTTGCAAGCTGCTTTTCTAGCTATTCCACGTTGGCATGAATACCACATTTGCAGGAACATTAAACTGTATGTACCTTTCAAGGATCTAGAAGGCAGTGCAGAGTCCAGATCAATGACCCACTATTCCTCCCTCCCATGAGTCCAAGTGTGTCCCACATAATTCTGCCCACAGAGTCCAGAGTAACAAATGTGTCCCACATAATCCTACATCAGGGTCAAGAGGAACATATGTGTCCCACATAATATTTATCAAAATCTGTATTTCATAATTAAATTTCAGAAATGCTCCTTGGTTCAGCATGCATTCCATTAATGAAAACATGGTATCAACAAAAAAACTCAGAGCAGAAAATAATTGGGTCATGAAAGGGTTAAAGAACCAAACCAAACTCACTGCCACTGAGTTGATTCCAACTCATAGTGACCCCCTTTGAGTTTCCAAGGCAGTAAATCTTTACGGAAGTAGATTGCCCAGCCTTCCTTCCACAGCATGGCTGGTGGGTTTGAACCACCAATTTCTGGTTAGCAGTCAAATGACTTAGGCACTATGCCACCAGAGCTCCTTTCTATTCTGTGTTAAATATGAGAACTGCAAGCTCATTACAATTAACAGTCCTACTGAGGGAAATCACGTAAACTCACTATAATTCTAATCCCTTACAAGTAAAACTGTCATTTCACTAAAGATAATTTAGATCTATAGAGGCTACTTTGTACCTCTTAACCCTTGATATTTCTTCAATATTTCTAAAGAACAATTTTATTTATTTACAATAACCACAGTACAATGATCACAATCAAAACACTTAATTACACACATGTTGTTGACAGGTGCCTCTGAGTTGACTTCAAGTCATAATGACTCCATGTGACAGAGCAGACATGGGCTTAAGGGTTCCTAGGCTGTAATGCTTATGGGAACAGATCACCAGATCTTTTCTCCTGCAGAGATGCTGGTTGGGTTCAAACCACTGACCTTTCTGTTAATAGCTGAACACTTAACCATCAGTGCTTCTTAATGGCACAATATTGTTATATTGATAGAGAACTTACTCAAATTTCATCTGGTTTATGTGTGTGTTGCATATGTGTCTGTCTGTGTGTTTGTGTGTGTATATCCAAATATTTTAAAACCCTTGAGTCTGTTCTGAAAGGTCTAACTCCAATCCAAATCCAGGTTCTTTCTAACCTTCCCCATTCTGTATTTGTATCTTGTTTACCCAATAGTGAGAAATCTGGCTCCCAACATCAACATATTTATTCATTTACTTAATCTTAAAATTCAGATAAAGGGGTTTAAAATTGTTGACTTATATCCCTACCAAAAACAGATGTACAAAATACAGTTGAAGATTTTATATATGTACAGCTTTCTTTTCCCCCCAATAGACAAGGATTTGGCCAATGTTTCTGTAAAGTATCAAATATTAAATATTTTAAGCCATGTAGACTACAAGGTTGGTTCCAGCTACTCAACTGTGCTGAAAAAGAATGAAAGTAGCCATAAAAACAAACAAACCATAAACAGGCGGTTGTGTTCCAAAATACTTTCTTTACAAAACTAGGTGGCAGCCCAGATTTGGCCTCTGCACTGTAGTTTGCCAACCTTTGCCTTAGAATGAATGTAAGATCAAAGTTCTCTGTTCAAAGGATAACTAGTTGTTTTCCCCCTGCTCAATGTGATCATGCTAGTTATTTGAACTACAGTTAGATTTGTTTTTAGGATTTTTCCTCTGTCTTTGTTGATTTAATTTTCATTCTTTGAGTATGTCAAACACTAGTATGGTTCCAAAAAAAATATTCACAAGGTAACCTCAGAGAAATGTCTCTCCTTTCCATATCCTTCCAGAAAGATCCCATGCATAACACCATAATTAATCTCACTATTTTCTGGTTTATCCATCCTGTGTTACTTCTATAAAAAGAAACAGATAGATGCGTTTTTCCCCCTACTTTGATTTATTTTGTTGTTGTTGAAAATATACACATCAAAATATTTAACAGTTCCTGTGTAACCAGGAGTGGAGCCTACCCTTGGACCCGAGATCCCTGTGCAAAGACCATGGCAGAGAGACTGGCAGAGAGATGGTGGCACTAGAGCTGAGAGACCAGCACAAGATGGAGTAACAGGCTTGCCAGACCATGGAGCAAGAAAGCTGAATGCCTTTGGGCAGGAGGCTTCCTGGTGGAGTGGTTGCCTTTAGGCACTAATTTGGAGATGAAGCCATAGGCTTGCTGGCCCACAGAGGGAGAAAACTGAGTGCCTTTGGGCAGGAAGCTTCCTGGCAGAGTGTGCTTCCCATACGCATTAATTGGCAGAAACTAAGAGACCAAGGAAACAGGAAACAGAGCTGCCTCAGTCTCAAAGGGTAGGACCATGGCCTCTGGGGATGGAACCACCATAATTTCCTAGGTTTCAGAGACAGATCTTCACCAAGTTGGCTTTGGAGTGTGGAGTTCCAGTGGGATGGGGCCATATCTGCCATCCAAAAGGGAGGGAGCAAGTTTATCATGCCCAAGGGGCAGAAGAATGAGGCCTACCAGACCAAGGAAATGAGGTCACCACTCAGATGGACTAGGAGACTTGGGCCACCCAATGAAGGAGATCTGCACAGGTGCCAAGCTGGACAAGGGGTGGAATATGGTAGTTATCCACTTGGCTGGGCCATAGTTTTGAGTGGCTGGGCAGCTGGATGTATTGATTCCCCATCATGAGATTGTAATCACCTCTTTGGTGGAATCTGCTGTGAGCAGCTAAATAGCTGCTTTCAGGGTATGGCCTGCTTTTAGTATACAAGCAGAAGCTTTGAACAAGGTCCCTAGCTTTGGCACATTTTGGATCTTGCATTTGGCTGAGTCA